GAGTTTGACTACTCTGGAAGTCAGGCGATTAAGGCTTTGAAGGAAGAGGGAATCTACACGATTCTGATCAACCCCAACATCGCCACCATCCAAACATCCAAGGGTCTTGCCGACAAGGTCTACTTCCTGCCCGTCAACGCAGATTTTGTTCGCAAGATCATCCAGAAGGAGCGACCTGATGGTATCTACGTGACCTTCGGTGGTCAAACCGCCCTCCAGGTCGGTATCCAACTGAAGGACGAATTCGAAGGCCTCGGCGTCAAAGTGCTTGGTACCCCGATTGACACCATCATCACTACAGAGGACCGAGAGCTCTTCGCTCGTAGCATGGAGTCGATTGGCGAGAAATGTGCCAAGTCTGCATCTGCCAACAACGTAGAAGAGGCTATGCGCGTCGTCAAGGACATCGGCTTTCCCGTCATTGTCCGAGCTGCCTATGCTCTTGGTGGGCTCGGAAGTGGCTTTGCAAACAATGAAGCTGAGCTGCTCGACCTTTGCAACAAGGCTTTCGCCGCCAGTCCTCAAATTCTCATCGAGCGCAGTATGAAGGGCTGGAAGGAGATCGAATACGAAGTTGTCCGAGATTGCCGAGACAACTGCATCACAGTTTGCAACATGGAGAACTTCGATCCGCTCGGTATCCACACGGGAGATTCCATTGTGGTTGCTCCCTCGCAAACTCTGTCCGACACTGACTACAACATGCTCCGAACGACCGCTGTCAATGTCATTCGCCATCTCGGTGTTGTCGGTGAGTGCAACATCCAATACGCACTGAACCCCTTCTCCAAGGAGTACTGCATCATTGAGGTCAACGCCCGTCTGTCGCGTTCTTCCGCTCTTGCCTCCAAGGCGACAGGTTACCCCCTTGCCTTTGTTGCAGCTAAGCTTGGTCTGAACATCCCTCTCAACGAGATCTCCAACTCAGTCACACGTGTGACATGTGCTTGCTTCGAGCCATCGCTCGACTATGTTGTCGTGAAGATTCCTCGCTGGGACTTGAAGAAGTTCACCCGTGTCTCAACACTCCTCGGTTCTTCCATGAAGAGTGTTGGCGAAGTTATGAGCATTGGTCGAACGTTCGAAGAAGCCATTCAAAAGGCTATTCGCGAGATCGATCCCAGCAACCTCGGTTTCAACGAAACTCCAGCCCTGATGGAGATCGATCAGGAGCTGCAGACACCTTCCGACCAGCGTCTCTTCGCCATCGCCAACGCTATGAAGGCTGGATACAGTGTTGAAAAGATTTGGGAGATGACCCAGATTGACAAGTGGTTCCTCAACCGCCTCAAGTCTCTTAGCGACTTCGAGAAATCAATGGCAAGCTACAACACCCTCAGCATCACCATGCCGCTGTTGAAGAAGGCAAAGCAGCTCGGTTTCTCCGATCGCCAACTCGCCAAGTTCTGGGCCTCCAACGAGCTTGCCGTCCGTCGCGTGCGTGTCGATGCTGGAATCTTCCCTGTCGTCAAGCAGATTGATACGGTCGCAGCTGAGTCCCCCGCCGTGACCAATTACCTTTACTTGACATACAACGCCAAGGAGCACGACATCAGCTTCAACGACAAGGGTATCATGGTTCTCGGTTCAGGTGTGTACCGCATTGGATCATCAGTTGAGTTCGACTGGTGCTCAGTCCGCGCTATCCGCACTCTCAGAGAGCAGGGCTTCAAGACAGTCATGTTGAACTACAACCCGGAAACAGTTTCTACCGACTACGATGAAGCAGACAGGCTATACTTTGACAACATCAGCTTAGAGGTTGTCTTGGACATCTACCACCTTGAGAACTCCAGCGGTGTCATTGTCTCCATGGGAGGCCAAACCAGTAACAACATCGCCCTTCCTCTGCACCGCATGAACGTCAAGATCCTCGGTACTTCCCCCGAGATGATTGACAATGCCGAGAACAGGTACAAGTTCTCTCGTATGTTGGACCGCATCAATGTCGACCAGCCTGCATGGAAAGAGCTCACCAGCATTGACGAGGCGATGGAATTCTGCGACCGAGTTTCCTACCCTGTCTTGGTTCGTCCCTCGTACGTCCTGTCTGGAGCTGCCATGAACACTGTCTACTCGAAGCACGACCTGGCCAACTACCTCAATCAAGCTGCCGACGTTTCGAAGGAGCACCCAGTCGTCATTACCAAGTACATCGAGAACGCGAAGGAGATCGAAATGGATGCCGTCGCTCGCAACGGAACCATGATTGGTCATTTCATCTCTGAGCATGTTGAGAATGCTGGTGTTCACTCTGGTGATGCTACATTGATTCTTCCTCCTCAAGACCTTGACCCAGAGACTATTCGCCAGATCGAAGATGCCACTGTAAGTTTTTCCAGCTATATACATCTACCACGCATTTACTAACCCATGATCAGCGCAAGATAGGAGCTGCACTAAACATAACTGGACCTTACAATATCCAGTTCATTGCCAAGGATAACGAGATCAAGGTTATCGAGTGCAACGTCCGCGCTTCCCGATCCTTCCCATTCGTCTCCAAGGTCATGGGTGTCGATTTGATCGAGATGGCTACCAAGGCCATGTCAGGCCTACCTGTGACTGAGTACCCACCCACTAACATCCCGGCCGAGTACGTTGGTGTCAAGGTTCCCCAGTTCTCGTTCTCTCGTCTTTCCGGTGCTGATCCTGTCCTTGGTGTGGAGATGGCTTCCACTGGTGAGGTTGCCTGCTTCGGTCGTACCAAGTACGAAGCCTACATCAAGGGTCTCATTGCCACTGGCTTCAGGCTGCCGAAGAAGAACATCTTGCTGTCTATTGGTTCATTCAAGGACAAATTGGAGATGTTGCCTTCAATCGAGCGTCTGCACAAGATGGGCTACAACCTCTTCGCCACTGCTGGAACTGCTGACTACATTCAAGAGCACGGTATTCCCGTTAAGTTCTTGGAAGTATTGTCCACTGGTGAACACGACGAGCAGAAGCAAGAGTACTCGCTCACCCAGCACTTGTCAAACAACCTCATCGACTTGTACATCAACTTGCCATCCAGCAACCGTTTCCGCCGACCTGCCAACTACATGAGCAGAGGATACCGTACCCGTCGTATGGCCGTTGACTACCAGACTCCTCTGGTGACCAACGTGAAGAACGCGAAGTTGTTGATTGAGGCTATCGCCCGCCACTACGACATGGAGATCAGCAAGGTAGATTTCCAGGAGTTTGCTGCAGCTCCCGGAGCCCACGATGCATCTTCAGGGCCTTTGTCTAAGCTCAACGGCTCGCTGTCGCTGCAGCAACTTCTTGCAAGGTCTCCATTCAAGAGGGAACACATTACCTCTGTCAAGCAATTTACCCGTGCAGACCTTCATCTGCTGTTCACCATCGCGCAAGAGATGCGTCTCGGTACTCAGCGCCAGGGTTGTCTTGATATCCTCAAGGGTCGCGTTCTCTGCACTTTGTTCTGCGAACCATCAACTAGGACTTCCGCTTCCTTCGATGCGGCTATGAAACGTCTCGGTGGTGAGGTCGTCGTCATCAATGAATTGGTGTCGTCTACACAAAAGGGCGAATCCATTGCAGACACTATCCGCACTCTGGGCTGCTACGGTGATGCCATTGTCCTGCGTCATCCGTCGGAGGAGTCGATCAACATTGCTACCAAGTTCTCCGATGTGCCTATCATCAACGCTGGTAACGGTAGCCGTGAGCACCCAACCCAGGCTCTTCTGGACATCTTCACCATCCGAGAGGAATTGGGCACAGTGAACGGTAAGAATTTCCGTGTACGAACCTTATGTGAGACATACACTGACTCCTTTTAGGCCTCAACATCACCTTCGTTGGTGACCTGAAGTATGGCCGAACAGTCCACTCCCTCTGCGAGCTCCTTTCTCACTACGATGTCACCATCAACCTTGTGTCGCCCTCGTCTCTACCCATGCCTAGTGGTGTCACTGATGCACTGAAGGCCCGCGGTCAGCTGAACAAGGTCACCACTGAGCTGACCGACGACATCGTCGCGTCATCGGATGTCATGTACTGCACTCGTGTACAGAAAGAGCGCTTCCCAGATGTTGCCAGCTACGAGGCTGTCAAGGATGCGTTTGTCATTGACAACAAGCTACTGAAGGGAGCCAAGGCGAACATGATTGTCATGCATCCGCTCCCAAGGAACAACGAGATTAACGAGGAGGTGGACTTTGACCCAAGGGCAGCCTACTTCAGACAGGTAAGTCTAACCCTGATTCAGAAGGACATCTCAGCTAACAGCATCGCAGATGAGATACGGCCTGTACACCCGTATGGCGCTTCTCGCTATGGTCATGGCTCCCTAATCAGATCATCCAGCGCACGACTTCATGGCAGGCGTTTGACGGTTTTCACGAAAACGAAGAAAGCAACAAAAAGTTTTCCTTCCGCATACTTTCCTTTCGAGTTTATACCATGACATAGACGAGCATCATCAGCAAAGATTGTAGATAGATACTCAAAAGCATTTCCACGGAGTTTTGGCCACGGGTTAACGGCATATATATGATGTATAATTATCAACATCAGGATGGGGGGAAGCTATTTCACTTTTTCTGCAGCACGTTTCGGTGTTATTCTTGTATATTTTCAAAGAGGGGGAAAGTCATTTCATTTTTATTTCGTTTTCTTTTGGCGTTTGGGTGGGTCCTCTGATCGAGGTTGGGAATATGGATCGGAGTTGAGAGGAAGATCGGTACATCAATCGGACTGGGTAATTATCGGCGGTATTATGGATAGGGATCTGCATGGTTTTGGAGTCGATGGAACGGGGGGGTCAAACACAATGGAATTGGGAATAAAGGCAGTCATCACTACTGCCGGGAAGAGGGAAGACGCCAGACGCCTCGCCCTTGGTGTATACAATGGAAACAGATTTCCCACGTTGCGCGAAGTCGTCGGACTTTGCGTAAGAACATCGATCTCTCTGAACACGTCGTATATGCTTCGTGAAATCCTTGTCGCTTTTCGGAAAGCAATGGTATTGTGCCAGCAGTGGCAGGAGTCTAGTGGCCGAGGCATCGCCCCCAACCTGATGTTCGTTAGCTGGTGATTCGAGACAAACTAACGAGATTCTGCCATGTTCAGTGAACTTACCAGGAAGACCACAGCCGAAGCCGACAAATAGGTAGATCAAAAAGATGACAACCAGCGTTAGCAGTACCATCAATTTGACGTTCTTCCACCACATCCTCCTCTTTAGCGTCCGTGACCTGACCCTGAAGTCCCTCGCATTCTCACCCAGTCTGCCAGTCTTATCAACCAGGACACTCATGTGTTCGCCCCTCTCCAGCACACGTTCAATGTTCTCTGTCATGATTTCCCTTACGCCCTCGATCTCGCGCTGCGCCGTCCTGAGCGCATCCTGTTGTCCAGCCTGAGTACCACCCTGCTCTACCATCATCCTCTTCAACGCGCCGTTGAAACTCGCGCACCCATACGGCGGCAAGTCATGGAAGTTTGTGCTTCCAGGCTCGAATTCAGCAAAGAACTTCTTCTCGAGGTTCGTCAGGAAGCCAAAGGGTATGCGCTGGCCGAGGTCGCGTTCAGCGATAACGAGGAAGGTGAGGCCGCCGGCCGTGGACTGATTGTTGGGGAAGTCTGAAGGCGACTTGACGAGGCAATGAATGAAGAACTTGGATTGATCGATGGTTTTGTGGGCGGATTTGTCGTGGGCGATGCGTGGGAGGACGAGAGAGACGAGAGAGGAGGCATTAGAGGAGGCCGAGGCGGTGTGTTCGGTCAAGACGGTTGTGTTGTGAGCTATGCATGCGCTGTGATTTAATCAGTTAATGGTGTTTCCAATTTGTATCATGTATTAGAGAGGCCATACTAGAGCAGCGGCGTGGAAGAAGACGAAGACGCCATGTTCAAGGTTGGCGGAGGAAGATCAAGGGCTCTGCGCGTAGCCGCGGGCGCTTTCGATTGTTTGCGTGATTTGGGATTCGAAGGAGACTTCGAGTAGGAGATGAGTCCTCGAGAGACTAGAGCGTGGTGGTGATGATGATGATGTGGGTCTGTTGTAGTGGTAGCCGTTGATGGTGTTGGTGCTGCTGCGGAAGGAGTGCCACTAAAGCTGGGGATGCTGCCTCTAGCCATGTGCGTCATAGCCAAGACGGTTCACGCCTCATGCGCTAATGCATGGATTGCGCTTGCGATTGATTGATGGGGCTTGCTTGCGATTTTAGTCAACTTCGCGTCTTCCATGCGCGTAAACGGGAGTTGTCGCAGGTATCAATTTCGAAGTCTTCCAGTTGCGGTGGTTACGATCGCGTAGCAGCGAGGGTCTGCCTGTCATTTTAATTTCCGTGTTTCGTTTGCCTTTCACTTGGACACCCCACACTCTCCCAGCTCGCGCATACTCCACCGCTACGCAGAGACACACAACACAGTTTGAGCCAGCATGGTGCGCGTAAAAAACCGCTACCTGGTAGTCAACTTCCTATATCCGGAGCCTCCCGCGAAGAGCAAGACGCAACTTTCGGACGCCATTCAAATTCACTCGCCGACGCCCGATGCCCTTAAGCAGGGCCTTATCATACGTATGATACGGGACGGTGTTGAAGAGCTGTTTGGCGACTATGGCTCGGGTATGGTGTCTTCGGGACTGAAAGGTATATTGCAAAGGCCTCGAGGGATTTTGATCGCCGTGCTAATGACGTGCACAGTCAATTATTGCTCTCCCTCAACCAGCACCGCCATAATACGATGTCCACGAGACCACTACCAAATGGTCTGGGCAGCTCTCACATACATCACTCACCTTCCCAAACCTCTCGATATACCTGTCGTGATAAAAGTCGTGCGGGTTAGTGGTACCATCAAAAAGGCGGAACAGGAGGTTATCCGACGGTCACAGCACATTATCAAGAGAGCAAGAGCCTGGGATGGCGTCGGAGAGCTGCCCATGCTACAGAAAGTGGAGAAGGCAGTTGATAAAGAGAGGAAAGTAGAGGAAGAGGTGCTTGCTAGGATTGACGACGACAACGAGAGTGAGGACATGAGCGAGTAGGCAGACTTGAGGCTCTGCGTTTTTTTCATCTGCTAAGCTTGGCTGTCGGATACTGGATACGGGCCCTAGACATCACTGCGTGCTGCTTGACCGACACCATGTCCTTGCTCCTGGCACTCCTCTCTGTACTGCTCGGCAGTACTTAGGTGTGCCTCTGAAGCCAAACACAACCAGAGGGTTGTCTTAAGGGATAGAAACAGCGGCTCTGGCCCATGCTCGTGACAACGCACTACATGAGCTGAAGAAGATCTAACAAATTGCTGCTTGCGCAGCTGATGTTGATCCATATCAAGGTCTTCGGTCTGCCATGAAATGTCGTGCAAGGGGGGATATGTGGAAACCCATAGTCGTTTTCGCGACAACGTTGCACATATTGGGTCGTAAATGCGATCAAAGTGGTGGTTGTGCCACGCATGGAGAAGCTCGACTTCCTGGTTGGTATAATTAGTGAGGAGAATAATGCACTACAAGACATTGTACAAGCAATTGAGGCGAATGGCAACGCCTCAATTGATGGATTATATACATTCTTCAGATATAAATACTATTCGTACAAAAGCTAGATACTTCAATTCGGCCTCAGCATAGCAATGATGCTCGCTGTGATGACAGCCCCAGCCGCAGCGCCTTGGAGGATGGCGCTGGTATAGTCGATCCGCCGCATTGAAATGACGCGATCGCTAACAATGTCATGTGCTATGAAGCTAGCCTTTTGCTGCCAGCTTTCTAGTTTGGAGGGGGGAGTGGTGTGAGATGACGAGATTTCTTCAGCAATGGTAACACGTTCCTCTGGTGTCAGGGTCTCTTCTTCAGGAGTAAGAGCCTCAGCTTCAACAGTTACAGCGGATTCCTGGACGACTTCGGGAACGAGTTCAGGTTCGACCGACGATACGATGTTTGTTCCCGCTGTTGGGGACTCCTCAACGACCTCCTCGGCAACCACGAGCGGTGCCTTGGCAGGTGCGTCTGTACGATCAACAACCCTGTCGATCTCTTCCTCGATTGCTGTTAGACCTTGCGTGGCTGACGCGGGCACAAGTGCAGTAGCAGCAGCCGATGACGCTGCAGCATCCATAGCAATCTGATGCTGCGCCTCCAAAGCCTTCTTGATTTCCCTGACCATCCTCCTCCTTCGCCACGGCTCCAAGATTGCCAAACTCAGTAGCAACAGGAAGATGTTGACACCCATGAGGCCAAATGTGACCCAAGTACTGTTCCTTCGGATGGTGTCGCTCCAGATCTGCTCTTCGTGGTATTGCGCACGTTCCCTCTTTTCCAGTTGTGCTCGCGCGTCTTCCAAAGCATTTTCGGCGTTTGCAACGGCGTCCTTGGCTTCCCGAACGGCTTGATCATTGATGTGTTCGGAGCGAATGAGGGCCATGTAGCGTTCAAGGTCGCCATTTGACCATGAATGTTTACGCTCCAGGAGAGCGACGACTTCTTTTTGCGAGGTAGCTTGGTGGGCGAGGGCGGTGTCGAGGGCTTGTTTAGCGGAGTCGATGGCTAGACGGCGGGCCTTGACAAGTTTCTCTGCACGGTGTTAGCTGCTGCGTCGGAGCGGTACAAGATGATTGCATATACCCTGCTCTTTGATTTCCCTCCTGAGTGCCTCCACGCCAGAGTAGTCGGTTCCAGTGTATGTATTGACCTTTTGTGTGACGACGGCAAGCTTCGGTAGCAGCTCATCCATGGCATTGGAGAAGCGTTTTGAGAGGCTCCATCGCTGCTTCTCTTGATGCGAAGGCAGGTGTTCGTCCGGTACGCGAGCAATATTATCCAAGGGCTCGTCCTTTGTGGGTGGTTCCGATTCTTTTGGAGGAGGCTGTTCAATCTTGGGAGCGGGCGGTTCTTGCAATGCGGCCACGGAAGTTTCTGCGGCTCGTTTGATAGCCATTTGATCCTCGAGTATAGCATTGAGTCTCCTCTCTAACCGCTCCTGATCCTCTGGTGATGGCGGGGCTCCTGATAGCTTGGTCGGAGGTTGCTGTATAGGATTGGAGTCGTTTGCGGGCGGCGGCATTGCGATGGGATCCGATGGCTTTGGTGGTCTTCCTTGTTCCCTCCATCTTGTTGAGCTTGTGAAAGTACGTTGCGACCATTGTGCAGATGGGTTGGCGCTCAACGGCGTCTTTGCATGCCACCTCAACGCACCAGGAGCTGTGCGATGGCGACACCTCGACAAGACGGACGATGCGCTGCGAGCAACATTGCTCAGAGATGGTGACGAAGGCGCTACCGTATTGGCGACAACCGAACGTGAAGCATGCTGAAGCAGTGGCCTCATTCTTGTCTCTACCCTCACATGAAGAGCGCCTGAGCTGTATGACGAATGACGAAAAAGGGCCAAAATGCGGACCCCCGAAGCGGGCGGCGTCGCATCGAGCGCAGGCGACGTGCCAAGGCGCGTGGGGCTGCGGCATGACGATGACTGGCCCTTTAGCCAGCGTCCCTTACTTGCACGTTTGCCGGCATTCCGTTTCAGGGCTTCCCTAGTGCCCCTCCATCTAATCTTTGAGAAGTTGTTGATATCGCCGAGCGCCCTTTACTTCTACTTCCACAGTCAGGACATAGAACCAGCAACACAGTCGCTCGTTTCCGTCACATACACCATGGGTTCCACACAGATTGATTTGGCAGAACTGCCTGCCATGAAGAGCAACCCAAAGGTACAACTTCTCAATCGTCTTGGCTATCTCTTATACTGACAACGCCTAGTTCATCTTCTTCACCGACTTTGACGGCACAATCACCCTCCAAGACTCCAATGACTTCATGACCGACAACATTGGCTACGGCCGCGACAAGCGCCGCGCCGGAAATATCGCCTGCCTCAACAACGAAATCACTTTCCGCGACTCCTTCCAAGATATGATGGACAGTGTCACAAAGCCCTACGACCAATGCATCCAATACCTCGTCGACAACATCAAGTTGGACCCCGGATTCAAGGCCTTCTTCGAGTGGTCGCTGGAGAACAACATCCCAGTCGTGGTACTGAGTTCGGGAATGGAGCCCGTAATCAAGGCCTTGTTGGAGAAGTTGGTCGGCCCAGATGCAAGCAAGATGCAGGTCTTGGGCAACCACGTCGGCCCCAGGCAAGGAAAGAACATCAACGAAGAGGGTGGATGGACAATCCTCTTCAAGCACCCCGAGTCCGGTTTTGGTCACGACAAGTCCATCGAGCTACGAAAGTACTCCAGTCTGCCCGGGGACCTCCGACCAACAATGTTCTACGCTGGCGACGGTGTATCAGATCTCTCTGCAGCACGCGAAACAGACTTGCTCTTCGCCAAGAAGGGTCACGACCTGATCAGCTACTGCGCGCGCGAGGACGTGCCATTCACAGTTTTCGAGGACTGGTCCAATATCCTGAGCAAGTGCAAGAGCATTGTAGAGGGCAAGACCACTGTCCAGGCTGCCGCCAAGGAAGGCTACGAGGCGTACAAGAGTGGCGCTGCTGGAATTGAAGTCCAGACCAAGAAATAAATGGGATTGCCGAAATTTGGTCTCGGGAAGATCATTCCTGGTTCCTGGTTCCTGGTTCCTGGGAGTTGGGACCGCCTATGTTGCGGCGCAGTAGATACCAAATCCTTTTGATGATGTGCGCACGGCAGTGGCTGCGGCGTAGACAGACTATGTGGGGGAGAGAATTATCCCAAGGCATCACCATAGACTGAAACGTTCGACGGCATAGAAAGACTATAGATACGATTTATACGATAGACTAGAATTTGATGAAATTTTTATACTCAAGAGAATGCGCCACATATGAGACGACCGTTACTATGTACTCCTACAAACATCGCGCAATGAAGAAGGGCTGTTGCCAAGGGTATCTCTCGCAATGCAATACAGC